CCGAGATCGTTTACTCCAAAATCACAACTTTTTGAGCGTTGAGAAGATATTCAGATGTATAGCAATTATTTGCACTGGCGGAGCCACCTTATACGAAGGGGTGTCAAATGACACCCCTTCGCAGGAAAAATACACTGTGTAGGTAGGTACAAAAATAAATTATATGTATATATATTATGTATTGACTCCCTTAATTTCCTGATATGTTTACTTTTATATATTTTGACATCCCTTAACGAAAATTCTGACTCCGCCACTAGACGTAGAGCTACCTGATTAGTCTTGACTCGGTGTTTTGGTCAATTTACATTGACCAGAAGCTCCTCTCCATTCTCCCTTATTAATAGTAGTAATATTATCTAGGCCGGTAGACTTCAAATATCAGATTGTCAAACTCTATTTGAGAAAAAGGTAAATTAGTTTTTTCATGAAGAGAGTAAGGTAATTAAAAAATTAAAAAAGTGAGAGCTCTTTCCTCTTGTATTAATTAGCTTAAACAGAATATGCTTACTTTGAAAGACAGAAGAATATTACCTGTCACAATGTGATATGGACGTATGAGTTACTAATTGTACAAATAAAATTTTAATAAATTTAAACCCGCGAGAAATTTGGATTTCATTATATATTAAATACATATTAGTTCAAATAATACTACGGGCTAGTATAATAGGGTCGACTGTTTAAATCTAAAATGAATTGTTTTAAATAAAAGTCCAATATATTATTGGGCTAGCCCGTCAATTGGTCTTCTATCAAATGGATTGGCCCATAAGCCTCAAGCCTGTTACACCCCATTTTTTTCGTACGTGAAAGTACGCCATAAGTAAATTGATGAAAGCTCGGAAATGAGATATTACATCCTGCATTTTTCGTACGTTAAAGTTTCGTTGTAAGTTAATCGACATAAATTCAGGAATGAGATTATTTTAAGATTATAAGCATTTTATGCTATTTCAAATAAGTAATGAGTAAATTTGTGAAGGTGAGAGGGTAAGCAAATCGAAGAAATTGAATTTCGTCGAAGTTTGACATTTTGGGATAAAACATGGCCGGAGCTAAAATACCCGGTATTTATGGACTAGTACCATACAAGGTCCCACATGGCCATGATAGTAAGGTGTATAAGGTGTGTTAAAAGTTAGTAGTAATTTAAGTAAGTTGAGATAATTATTAATTATTTAGATAATTAGCTAATTATTAATTTAAGGGGAGATTAACCATATAATTAAGGATTTGTGGATAATAAATAGGTGGGGACAAAGCCCCCACGTGGCAGGAAGTGAAGAAAGGTCTTATGACTCTTGACTTTAGACATTTAAATTAGGAAGACACATGGTCACTACTCTTACCCATTAAACACGTAGAAGGAAAGTTCAGTCATCCTTATAATTCTCTTTTTACCTTTGTCCCTATTCATGAGCCATTAATTCAATGTATTTTCTTTTTGTCACCTAAATCACTAAAAACAACAGAAACCAAAAGTTCTAATGTTATGAACATAAACAAGTCCACTTACTGAAGAGGAAACTTTCAAACCAACACTCCATGTTTGTTTATGAGTATAACATCTTGTGAAGAAAGAACGAAATCAACAAACACATTCACGATTTGGAGGGGATTTGAAAATTCAACGAGACTCCATATGTATTAGCATCGGGAATTCTTGGTTGAGCAAAATTTCATACGAAATTATACTGCGTAATAGCAACGGGATTTTGCGATTCTAAGGGAGTACGGTGCAATCCTTCTCAAGAATATCATACGAATTTTCTCCTACTCCGATCTTACCGATTACATGTAGTCGCAAGTGACGTGTATTAGAGGGATTGTCAAGAGAACGGACTCAGGTATGTTAAGGCTATCCCTTCTTTCTTTTTGGCATGATCCAAATAATACAAATGAAACGAGCAAAATACGTAACTTTCATAAATGACTCTATCCATAGAAATACTAGGGGTGGCTATATTCTTGATTCCCCATATGAATTATTATTATATCTTATGTTCATGGGTCTCAGAAAAAATACGTGTTTGATAAAGTTTATCCGAAAGGTATATTGATTTTTATGGCATTCCGAGAAAATCTTATTGACGTATTTCGTATGCATTTCATGCATTTATAGATGTACATTGACCCATGACCAGATGGCGTTATATATGCGTGTGTGTATATATATATATATATATATATATATATATATATATATATATATATATATATGGGATATGGGATATGGCATTATATACGCACCACCACCTGATCAGCTGGTACACGTTTATGATTTGCCCACAGTAGCCGAGATGATATGATGGGATGCCCTCAGAGGCTTGATGATGTTATGAACACATGTACCTATGCACGACATGACATTTATACGTATATGCATGACACTATAAGTATTTCATGATTTACAGAGTTATCTAGACTTACAGGTTGAGTCATTTACTCTATATTTCTTCCATGTCTTTTATGTACTTATTTATGTGCCTTACATACTCGGTACATTATTCGTACTGACGTCCCTTTTGCTTGGGGACGCTGCGTTTCATGCCCGCAGGTCCCGATACACAGGTCGAGAGTCCTCCAAGTAGGCTATCAGCTCAGCGGAAGATGCTGGTGCGCTCCATTTGCTCCGGAGTTTCTTATTTGGTCAGTATGATTAGTATATGTATTGATTGGTATGGCGGGGCTCAGTCCCGACCTTTATGATATTATGTATTCTTAGAGGCTTGTAGACAGATGTCATGTATACGGATTCTTGTATGGCCTTGTCGGCCTATGTTTTGAGTATATAAAGATCATGTCGGCCTTATTGGCCCGTACGTCATATGTATAAGTTTGGATTACATGTTGGGTCGTCCAATGTCGAGTATTTCTCCATGTATTATTCTACTAATCTCACGATAGCCTCTCTGGCTCATTACTTATGATAGTATGATGCGAAAGATACGTTACGTTGGTACTCGGATGAGTAAGGTACCGGGTGCCCATCGCGGCCCATCGGATTGGGTCGTGACAAAGCCCAATGATCCACTAGAGTTTTCTTGGAGAATACTCCACCCCACACCTATATAAAGGGGTCAAAAGAGAAGGCTAAGACAAGGTTAAGCTGAAGGAAAGGCTAAAGAAGCTCTAAAGAATAGCATCAAGGTCTCCATCCATATCTGCAATCGTCGTCTGTGGTCAAATTCCAAAGACGAACTCAAATCATAGGCGGGCGGCTTCAAATCTTTCGTTCGTGATAACCCAACACCAAATCCTAGTTCGCGACGGCCTTCAAATTGTTCGTGACATACTATAAATCTGAAATTCATTAAGTTCAAGATCAAGCTCTCAAGATCTTGAACCATCGTCGGTGAGAAGAAGAATCAGAGGACTACATCTCTTTAGATTTAGAAATATTTTAGAGATTGTAACCCGTTCACTTGATCAAATATAATATTTGTCGTTTCTTGTCTTGATTATTATTTTTCAAGAGCGAAATTTAGTTGTTAAATTTTTTGGCACGCCCAGCGGGACCAAATCTTCCCTTCATCTCTTCTCTCACGGTGAAAAGAATGTGGTGTCTTCTTTGCTGGTACTTCAAGCCTCGTGTACGACGATCTTGTAAATCTACGCCCCGACAAACCTTGAAGTAGGGGGCATTTGTGGACATCAAAATTTTATCGGATCAAATCCATATGAAATTTGGGCAAAATTCTAAATTAAAGATACTACAAGTAGAGTCCATCGAGGTTTTCTTGGAGGCTACTCTATCTGAAATCCTAACTTGGAGGCTACTCCACTTGAAACCCTGGAGGGTACTCTACCCAAAACCATGGCTACACCTATAAAGCGGGACCACATATTCCCTTTGAAAGCATCTCGAAATTCCATAAAAATTCGTGGAATATTCACAAAAAAATCAAAGACATCAAATATTGTTTTTCTCAAAGTCACCGAAGTGATCAATAAATGTTCTTCCTTTTCATGGAGATTAAATACATCCTAAGGAAGTCCGTTCATCCTACGTTCGAGAAATACGCTGGTTAAGCCCTCGAATTACGGAGAACGATCTACAGAGAAGACTCAAGGGAACAAATAGAATTGTATCCTCATTATTTTTCTCTATAAAATTATGTTTCTTCATATTTATATTGTGGTTGCAATTTATTTTGTATCTCAAATAAATTGTTGTGAGCATTGACAAAATATAATACGGCAAAGCAACAACAAAAAATGCATTCAAACCTAACTTGGTAATTTTATTGGCAATCTGCTTTGATATGTTTGTATATATTTTAATTTCTTATTCTCATGGCTCTAGCTGAACACTTTTGGTCCAATGCAGAGGGATTTCATCAATCTCACCATATATATCTTTAAAAGTAGGAAACAATTTACCTTAAAAAAAGATCTTAAACGACGTGAATTTTAATTAAAAGGGCCAATAAATTTCGAATACAAGATGATTAAACCAAAACAAACAAAAAAAAAACTTGGAGTGTGTAAAGTATATCGAATTTAATTGCAAAATATGAAAAGGTAAAAGGTTATGTAGGTATATACCAATGGTGAAAGAGCTGAACATTTTGCCAAGGGCATCATAGATTTGTTGGTAGCTCCGTCCACGCTAACTTTCACACTTTACGAAGTACGGAGTTCCGTCCACGCTAACTTTCACACTTTACGAAGTACGGAGTTCCGTCCACGCTAACTTTCACACTTCACGTAAGTAGGCCCTTTTAATTAAAATTTACGTCGTTTAAGATTTTTTTTAAGGGAAATTGCTTCCTACTTTCAAGGGATATACGGTGAGATTGCTGAAATCCCTCTGCCTTGGACCACAAGTGTTCAGCTAGAGCCCTGCGAATAAAAAATTAAAATATATACAAATATCAAAGCAGTTGATAAAAAAATTCAATATATATCCATAAAATAATACTCCATATACTATAATACTCCATAAAATAATCTTTGCATTAATTGCCCTGCCTAACTTGTTTATAAACCAAACGGCGAGGGTTACTTAGTCCCATAATATAGGTATATACACAAACTATCTTCAGAAAGTGAGATATTTCTTTCTCTATTTTCTATTTTCTATTTTCTGATGTTTTTAATTTTGAGGTAGTGGCAGTATGTTTGAACAAAAGGAAAATCCTTTCCAAAGAGCGCCAACTTCAAAACCCCCTTTTACAATTGGTGATATAAAAAAAGCCATTCCTCCTCACTGCTTTCATCCATCTTTTATTCGCTCGTTTTCTTATCTTGTTCAAGATTTCATACTTGTCTCCGTTTTTTACTACATCGCCACCACTTTTTTTCACCTATTTCCTTCCCCTTATAATTACGTTGCATGGGTTATTTACTGGATCGTTCAAGGTTTAGTTTTTTCTGCAATATGGGTCATTGCCCATGAATGTGGCCACCATTCATTTAGTGATTACCATTTGGTAAATGACACTATTGGTTTCATCCTCCATTCTGCACTTCTCGTCCCATATTTCTCATGGAAAAATATTCATCGCCGTCACCACTCTAACACTGGTTCCCTTGAAAGTGACATTTTGTTCGTGCCAAGGCTTAAATCCGAACTAAGATGGTACCATAAATACTTGAATAATCCAATAGGACAAGTAGTCACACTTGCCTGCACTCTCATTCTTGGCGAGCCTTTGCACTCGGCATTCAATGTCTTGGGCAATCCTAGTGATCCTTTTGCATGTCATTTTGATCCATATGCACCTATATATAATGACCGTGAGAGGAAACAAATTTACATTTCAAATGCAGGTGTGATTGCAGCTACTTATGTGTTGTATCGTCTTGCTTTGGCAAAAGGGCTAGCTTGGGTTATATGCTTCTATGGGGTACCCCTCCTAATCACGAAAACCCTTTATATATTAACCACTTTTTTGCACCATACTCATCCTTCAGTGCCACATTATGATTCATCTGAGTGGGATTGGTTAAGAGGAGCTCTAGCTACTATAGACAGAGACAATGGTTCTTTACTAAATAAAGTCACTCACCACATTACAGATACTCATGTTGTGCATCATCTATTCTCAGCCATTCCACATTACCATGCAGTGGAGGCAACCAAAGCTATTAAGCCATTGTTAGGAGAATATTACCAATTTGATAATACCACAGTTCATAAGGCAATATGGAGGGATTTTAAGAAGTGCATCTATGTGGAGAAAGATGAAGGATCTCAAGCTAAGGGTGTTTTTTGGTATAAAAACAAGTTCTGAAAGTTGAACACCAATAACTATTTACCTATATATTGGTTTAGTGTTCAATATAATACTCGTGGTAATAAGTATTTTGGATTGTGTATCGTATTTGTTATTACTTTAAATAAATTGTGTGTTTGAGTTGTTACTTTATTTATTGTACTTATTGTTAAATTGGTCGTTATATATGTCACTATGAAAATATCTTATGTGAACTGATGTGAACTTATAGTGACTTTTAGTTTAATGGAAGCTTGAGGAACAAGAAAAGCCGGAAACTATACAAAGGGCCGTAGGATTCAAGTAAGAGAATGCATAACTTTTTCTTTCAATAAATAAAGCTTCCCGGATTCAGCTCCGGATTCCCGGATTCACCTTTTGTTAAGTGTAAGATTATTAAATTGCAGCCATAGCAGAGATTAAGACACAATTACACAATCAATCTAGAGTTAGAGTCTAAGGAAACGTACCGTTAAACTCCATGAATTCAGCAGCGACAACAACGGCGATTAAGCCTGAGACCAACTTCCACAATCCACTAGCTACGCGCTCTCACAGCCCGGAGAACTTGACTGATGGGACGTCTACCGTTACCACGTATTCAAGAGGCAAAATACACTAGGGGTTTTCTTATAGTTAGGGAAAGGGGGGTTGGCCTCTATTTATAAAGAGTGCCTACCCATCACAGGCCAATAGTTATTGGGCCTTACTTATCCACACACACAATATTTAATATTAGGCCTTTTATTTATCCACCACTGAGGCCACGTCACTATCCTTTCAGGCTATAACCAATTAACGTAAGTCCAAATTCCAGCATTCTCCCACTTGGACGCCAACGTTAATTGAGGACAAGAAAACAATTTTAAACATTTGAGTTTTTAAGAAAATCATTTTGAAAAAGGATTTTAGATTCTACGGTGGCCACACTACTCACATAGCCAAGGATAGAATGACCCATATAACAATCCATTCAGTCTCAATAGAAAAGACTAACAATGAATCGTAGCAGGCATCGCACCAATTTATGGTATGAATTCTATCTACGATCACATATGCTAGAATTTCCATCAACATGGATCAAACATGTGTGCTAAGCATTTTATCTTTCTAATCAAGGTGAATAGATTCACACCTCTTAGAAATAAATAATCCTCCAAGTGATATTATAACCATATCACCTCAGGAGCCTCCAAGTGACACAAAATTATATCACCTCAGGAGGATTCCCTTGTGCCTTACCCGGGATGATCAAGGCAACAAGCCGCAAGAGTCAAACATATCATGAGTCTATGCGATGTCCAATTGGAAAAAAAAATTATCATGTTAGTCATAAGCATAACAGATATCAAATAACACAAGCTTGCATAAAAATAGAATTTATTAAAAGCAATATCTCAGTCAGCAATTACAAAGTAACTCCCACTGACTAAAGCACATCAAAAGACTCTAAAATACCCATATTTTTAGCATGTTCATTAAACACTACAGGCCTAAGACCTTTAGTCAAAGGATCAGCCAACATAGATTCTGTGCTAATATGCTCAATACATATATGACCTTCTTTTACCATGTCTCTAACCTTAAGAAACTTAAGGCTAACATGTTTAGAGCCTCTTGTTCTCTTGTTATTCTTGGAGAAGAACACAGCTGCACTATTATCACAGAAAATAGTTACCGGCTTAGATATAAAATTCACAATTTGCAATTTAGTAAGAAAATTCTTCATCCAGACAGCATGTGAAGCAGTCTCAAAACAAGCAATAAACTCAGCTTCCATTGTAGATGTAGCAGTGATACTTTGCTTCTCACTTTTCCAAGAAATAGCACCTCCACCTAACGCAAAAATATACCCAGAAGTTGATTTCATAGTGTCTTGACGACCTGCAAAATCAAAATCTGAATATACTAGAAGATCCAGATCATCAACCTTTTTGTATACAAGCATGAAGTCTTTGGTGCGTTGTAGATATCTCATCACTTTCTTTGCAGCCACCCAATGTGCCTACCCAGGATTAGAAGAAAATCTTCCCAACATGTTAACAGCAAATGCAATATCAGGTCTTGTACAAACCTGTATGTACATCAAACAACCAACAACACTTGCATATGGCACATCTTTCATAGTTCTCATTTCAACTTCATTTTTCGGACATTGATCTTTGCTAAGTTTGTCTCCCTTTACAACAGGTGCAATACCAGGTCTATAGTCTTGCATATTGAAAGTTTTAAGAACACTCTCAATGTAGGAACGTTGTGATAAACCCAATAAACCACGTGACCTATCTCTTTTAATTTCTATCCCAAGAACAAAAGAGGCTTCACCAAGATCTTTCATATCAAAAGACCTAGACAAAAATTGTTTGGTCTCATTCATCAAGCCCAAATCATTTGTGGCAAGCAAAATGTCATCAACATAGAGAACCATAATAATAAAATTTCCATTAGCTATTTTGAGATAAACACATTCATCAAGCTTATTTTCCACAAATCCAAATTTTGTAATAATTTCATCAAATCTCAAGTACCACTGCCTGGAGGCTTGTTTAAGCCCATATATGGATTTGTTAAGCTTGCATACTAGATGTTCTTTACCAGCTTGTCTAAACCCTTCAGGTTGAACCATGTAAACTTCTTCAAGCAGACTACCATTCAAGAAAGCAGTTTTAACATCCATCTGGTGCAACTCTAAATTAAAATGAGCCACAAGAGCCATCACAACTCTAAATGCATCCTTGGATGAAACAGGAGAAAATGTTTCTTTATAATCAATACCTTCTTTCTGAGTGTAACTCTTAGCAACCAACCTTGCTTTATAACGGTCTATATTTCCCTTAGAGTCTCTTTTAGTTTTAAACACCCATTTGCAACCAATTGGTCTAAACTTACGGGAAATTCAACTAACTCCCACACTCCATTGTGCTCCATAGAGCGCATTTCATCTTTCATTGCTTCACGCCATTTATCAACAAATGGAGAGGAAATAGCTTGAGCATATGATAAAGGATCAGTCAGCTCTCCAGTATCACGGAGATTTTCAGTCACATACACGATAAAATCATCAGAGATGGCAGACCTTCTTTCTCTTTATACGGAGTGGTTCATTTTGAACATTTTGCTCAGGAACTATGGGGTCTGCCTCATTGTTCCCTTGATTCTCCCCCTCATGAATAGGTTGGTTTACCACCTTTTCATGTATAACTGGTATAGGGACAATGACTTCCTTCTCTTTCAATACAATTTCCTTACCACATGAACAGTCACAATCACAAACATCATGCTCAAGAAATTTCGCATTAATAGACTCAACGATTCTAGTGCCACGCCCAGGACAAAAAAACCTAAAACCTTTAGAGTGATCAGGATAGCCTATAAAGAAACAACTGGTAGTTTTAGGATCAGTTTTCTTTTATGTGGAAGAATAAATACGAACTTCAGCTAGACATCCCCAAATGTGAAAATGGTTCAAGCTAGGTTTTCGGGTTGTCCATAGTTCAAAGGGAGCTTTCAAGACAGATTTTGTAGGAACTCTATTCAGGATATAACTAGCTTTTTTTAAGGCTTCACCCCAAAGAGACTCAGGTAGGCTAGTCCTTGACATCATAATTCTCACCATTTCAATGAGAGTACGATTTCGTCTTTCAGCCACACCATTCTGCTCAGGAGTACCTGGCATGGTATGTTGTGCTACTATCCCACATTCTTGCAAAAATAAAGCAAAAGGCCCCATGCATTGACCAGACTCATCATATTTTCCATAGTACTCACCACCACGGTCAGACCTCACTATCTTAATGGACTTCCCAAGCTGTTTTTCAACTTCAGTCTTATAAATTTTAAACTTATCAAGTGCTTCAGATTTTTCTCTTAAAAGATATATATAACAGTACCTTGAAAAGTCATCAATAAAAGTAATAAAATACTTATGATTGGTCAAAGTAGGTACATAAGGTCCACTAATATCAGTATGAATTATTTCTAAGAGTTCAGAGCTCCTAGTGGAACCCTTTCTCTTAACCTTGGTCATTTTACCCTTAACACACTCCACACAAGTTTTAAAATCTTTTGGATCAAGAACAGGTAAAATATTTTCCTTTATGAATCGTTCAATTCTTTCTTTAAAAATATGACCAAGACGCCTATGCCATAATAGGTAAGACGTTTTACTCATAGCAGACCTTTTGTGGGCAATATTTTCAACATGCATTGCAGAAAAAGTTTCATTCAATACATTCAAGCGATATAGACCATCACTTAAAAAGGCATCAGCTACAACATGTGAATCATAGGATTTAATAATACCATTATTTTGTTGAAATGAATAACCAGCTTTGTCCAAAAGGGAAACCGAAACTAATTTCTGTCTCATAGACGGTACAAAAATAGTATTTTCTAAACGAATACTAGAATTATTCTTAAAAGGTAAAATAGATATCCATATAAACTCTACTTTTGCTTTGAGTCCATTGCCCACAACAACACTGGCTTCATCCTCTTTTGGCTTCCGTCTGCTTACTAGGTCCTGCAAGTCATTGGTTACATGAACAGTTGCACCACTATTCAACCACCAGGAATTTAAAGGAACATGAACAAGACTAGTTTCAAAGCAGACAAAAGCCAAAAGATTACCTAATTTCTTTTTTAGAGGACAACCAGCTTTCTTATGACCTACTTGTTTGCAATCCCAGCACTTGATTTCTTTCTTAATTACAGCTTGAGGACCAAGAGAATTATGAGACTGACCTTGGTTAACACCAGGCTTATTAGTATGACCACTATTACCACCTGGATGATGAGAATGACTGTGTTTCCTTTTGTGAAATTTGGGTCCACCTTTTCTTTTATAAGAGGGATAATCAGCTGATCTAGACGAACTAACAAAGTTCACTACACCCTCAACTTTCTCCTTTTGGATCCTCTCTTCCTCTACCACACAAACAGTATAAGCTCATCAACACTCCATTTATCCTTTTGTGCATTATAGGCTGTCTTAAGTTGGTTAAACTGCTCAGGAAGGGACCTTAGAGATTGGTGAACAAGAAAATCATCGGTAATAGTTACACCTAAATTGTTTAGTTTGGTAGCAATATTAACCAATTTCATAATGTGATCACGGACACTACCTACAAGGTCATACTTTATGGTAGACAAGGAATCAATTAGGCTACCTATCTCAGCTTTATCAGATTCTAGG